AGGAAGTCTGCTCTCCTGCTGGAGTAGGCACTGGGCCACTTTCCAAGACCCAGACCAGCAAACTGGGCCAGCTGTGGAGCTAACCCAACTTGGGCAATCAGATACTTTCTCCTGGGGAGATCCCAGGTAGGTTCTGCTGGGCACTTGATGGGGAATATATAGAATCAGCTTAAAGGGTAGTTTCCAGTTGAGTCTGGGTAACTTGATTTTGTTTCTATAGTTCTAACCCTGTACCCTGAAAGGGCTGAGGGTGGGAGATAAGGACGCTGTTCAGTGTGTACTGTGTACACCAGCCCCTAGTGACACTTGGATTATAGGACACTAGGTTGCATAAATTCTGGGCTCAATGAGGTGGTCCCAGCAGACCACCAGACTAGTCAGGTTCAGAACCTACTAGCCTTATGGACACAGATGTATGAAAGGCTGAACTTGGAAAGAGGAAGACTTATCCACCCCTGAATACCCTCTGAGGCAGACTTTGGGGTTTAGAATCTTGTACCTTTGTCTTTCACAAAAATGTTACTGATCTACATTGCATATTCTGATTGGATCCTCTGGCTTCTATCTCATAGAAAAGGAAAATTTCACTGGACTTTGGTGACAGCACACGGGTGAACTGGTGATAGGAGGCACATGGGGATTCCAACTGAGATGGAAAAATGCAAACAATGAAGAGTGATGTAAAGTAAATAAATAAATTATAAAAATTCAAAGAAAAGGAAAGTTTGATTTAACCGAATGGTGTCTGAATCTGACCTGTCCATTAAACCAAATTTACATGTAGTTAATATGCAGCACCACACAGGGAGGGGATGAAGACCTGGAATTATTTCTATTATTCTCCTGGGACTTCTGATGTCAGTCACTCCAAATGGAGGGCCATCTCCTGCGACTCCAGGAGGCAAAGGTATTGAGAAGACCAGGCCATATCTTCTTGTGCAGATACAGAGGATGGGAGCACCGAGGGTTCTTTCACCTCTGAGCTTCTGCGGAGAGGATGCTCCTGTCCCCACGGCTCGGGCATCCTGCTGGGTGGTGGGGAGGTGTTCACCATCCCCTAAATCTTTGACATCACAGAGAGTAAAAGGAGCCATATTGGCTGACCTTTGAGTGTGCAGTGAAGCTATACAGAATCTCTGAGAGAGAAACGGATTTTTTGATTCAGTGGCTTTGAAGACTCCATCTGCCACCTGCCCTGGCAAGGTCAGAGTGTGTTGGATGCAGCCCCAAGCAGGCTGCCAGATCTCTGCCTAGCTCAGGGTTCAGTGCTGAGCTGGCCCTCTGCCCCAAGCACACATGTTTATGTACACACACACACACACACACACACACATTGGGATTTAATTGACGTTTTTTGTTTTAAAGCAGATGTTTAAAATGCTCTTAGGGAATATAACAGCAACTTATCTTTCAGATGAAGGCAGAAAGGGAAAGGACATGTATCTATGTCCAGCCAGTGACCCTTTCCCCCCAATGATGGTGTTTGGTCTCCAGGGTGAGAGGGAGGGGGGATTTCCAATATCTCCTTTCATCCACCATGGCAACATTATAAATGATATTTCTTTGTGTGACAGAATGAAGACACTCAGCAGTCTCTATGAACATGGACAGTAACGACTGTAACTGAGGCTTTGACTGAACATTTGATATGTGCCAGCCATGGGGCTTCACCTGCTTAGTCTGTCTGATCCTCACAACCACCCCTGTGAAAGAGGCACTGTTATGGCCACTTAAAGATGAGAAAACCAAGGTTCTAAAAGCAATAAGTAAACAGCTTTGAATGTCAATCAGGATTTGAATCTACATGCAGCCAGTTCTCAGGGGGTGCTTCCATGGACCCTGCCTAACATCTCGTCTATTCTCACAGCTGCTAGCAAGCAGCACTGACCCCTCTGATATGGTTTTTCACCTCATCTGGCACGACTGCACCCAATTCTGCTAGTTACATGGTTAACAGAGAAAGTACCACCTTCTTTCTCTTGGCTACTTCAAAGAAGAAAGAGGGGAGGGCCAGCCTTCCTTGGCTTACTTTGCTATAAGGGGTGCAGGCATTTCATTCCTTAATTCTGACACAAGAGTTCAGACATGACCATTGTGTTAACCAAAGTAATTCTCACTGCTAAAACAAATGGCTCCCAAGTTACTGTGGTTATACCCTACAAACATTTATTTCTTACTTACATAACTGTCAAACACAGATTTGCCAAAAGCCAAGCATTCAGGGTTTAAGCAGTAGCTCCCCGATGACCAAAGTCACACAGCACTTTTTACACTTTCTGTTGTGTGTGACGGGCATGAGATGGCACTCAGGGCTCGTCAGTCATTGAGAAAGACCAGCACTGCTAATGCACCAGGTCAGGATCATCTCTAACCCCACAGTGCACCCCTGATCCTTCCTCTCTTTGATACAGAGCAATCTCCGAGAAAAGAGGAGGAGCATTTCAGAGTACTGACTGGGCAGCATTTTCCCCACCCCCACTCACATGCAACCACTTTGTACTAAAAGTCCCAGCAAGCCATGAACTGGACTTCCTGAGTGGGGGGTTGTGGGGAGGAGCAAGGTGGACATATAAGGACATATAAAGGGAGGTGGAACAAAGAAGGGGGACGTATGGGAGGAGACACGTAGAGGAGAGACACTTGGAAAGATACTTGGAAGAGACATGTGGGTGAGAGACCCACAGAGAGTGTGTTCCTTGGCAGACACAGTGCGAGCCGTTATCCTGATTTCATGGTAGATTATCATGTGGTATATTTTGAATTTTGAGTCTCTCCTTCTGTCTCAGTTCTCTGGGAGCTAACCTTTCCCTTTCGTTCCTTGCTAGAGAGTGCTTTGACCTTGTGGCAAGCTTTTGGGCCTACATATCCCTGCTTTGGGTTGAGTTCATTTAACCCAGCACGTGGGCATCTGCCCACGAGGGGATGGGTAATTTGGGGAGTTTTACTGGGAAATTATTATTTGGAATCCTTTTATTTCATTAAAGATTTTCATTTCACTGTGAATCTTTCGCACGAAGAGACTCTTTTGTTTTGGGCATGTGGATAATAGGAACCCTTTCAGACTGTGTGCCCCCTTAGCGGTAGGGGTCCCCTGAATACCCCTCACTCTGTGTTAATACTTTCCCTTCTGATCCTAGGAAACATTCATTTTGACACTGCTGATTACAAGTAAGATTTGAATGTAGGTGGTTGGAAACTGTGACTTACAAGGGTTGCAAAATATCTACTAAAACGGCTCTAACTGCCACAGCTAGTGACAGGTTCAGAAAATTTAATGAGCCCATGGATGGATTCCTTTGAGATCTCCACCAGAAGCGGAGTGGGGTGCAGTTCATTCAGCCTCAGTCCCCAGCTTTTCTCAAGTGTTTCATAGGATATATGGTTTCCCTTAGGGATTAATTTTGAGTACAGTAAAAAAAAATCTCTCAGTTTCCATAGCCCAGGGACAGAGATGTCCTTTAAGGACTTGCAAATTAGGGGGCCCTAGGCTCTTGCTGAATGCAAGGAGAGGCCCTGAAACTTAGAATCAGTTCACAAACCCTGCTCTGCTAGTCATCATGCACCATCTCTGAGAAAGGAAGACAGTACTTTGCTCCCAGGCCCGGTGTGGGCCAGCACTGCTTCTCTAAAGCTGCCTGTGTGGTCACTTGCAGCAGACTCACCCAAATGCCACCAGCAACAGAACACATGGGGGAGAGGCTCTCGTCCTGGCTTCTCAGGGTGGCTTTGAAGGGGACAGAGCTGCCTCCACTGGGAGGGTAAGAGGAAAGCTCTCTGCCTTGAGCCCATGTTCCCTGCGTCCCGGCTCCCAGTGCTCTGTCCTCTTCACTCCCAGGGCAGGGCAGGGGATGCTGCAAGGACCACCTCATGGCAGCACCACAAACTCCCTCCTCTGTGAGCCGCAGCACGTGCGCGGATGCCGGCGCTGTGACCACACACGTGGGCTGCAATCTCCCACCTCTTAGGTTCTGTGTGTTCTTCAAGGAGAGACTAGATTTTAATTTGCATCTATATTTTCTGTACTTAATATGGCATTTGAGTCTCAGGAATGTGCTTAGTGAATGCAATTTCTTTTTGGGAGAATGAGTTAGTAAACTGAACAGCGAGTGAGCTATGGAGCAAAGATGAATACGGCAGGTAAATGTGGAGCAGTGTGGATGAGTGAAGGTGTGAGAAGTAGCATGAAGGCCCTGGCCTGAAGGTGTCTACACTCTTCTTCCTTTTTGGTTTTTAGTTGGGCGTGTTTCCTCCCCACAAAAAGAATACATTTCCCATGTGTGTCTGTGGGACTAGATTCTGTGATAAATTAGGTAGCCAGGAAAAGTCCTTCAAAACCAGTGTGGATGCTTTTGTCTCTTGTGTCCTCTTGCCTGTTTATGGCCTGTCACATATGGTACATATGTGACAACTGGCACTGCAATGAGATGACCTCAAAAAAAAAAAAAAAAGCCATAGGGGTCAGTATAACACTCTAGACTCTTCCTCCAGGCCCTTTTTATGCAAGAGGGAAATAAGATTCCCTTTTGTTACAGGAAACAAGATGGTGGCAGCACAAAGCAGGGGTGTGGACAGTGGTGCTCATTCTGAGGCCGCAGCAACACTTCTATTCCTTTTTTAGTGACATATTTTATAACAATTTCACTAATTTTTTTGTGTTTTAGTGTTTTTTTTTTTTTGGACTTTTACCATATTGTTGGATCTGCTGGAACCACCGCCCCCCAAATCCTGTAGGCGCTCCCCAAGCATCAACTCAAAGCCCTAACACAGAGGTAGAGAATCCTGATCTGATTCCTGATTAGCGTTTAAAGCTTACTGGATTGGGGGAAGCACAGATTCAAATTCAGGTTAAATACTATTCCTAATGGTCCGCCAGGGAATGCAAGGAAGGGAAACTGCCTAAGACCACAGATCCTGGTATGCGCTTATTCTTGGTGGCTCCTGCATTTCAACAGCAAAGCATTTATTTTTCCTGAAAGTAGAGCATGTGGGAGCAGGCTTACCTCCACCAGAGAGTGCCAGTGCGCAATGGGCTTCCGGGGGTACGACAGCATTTCACTCCAGTGGTCTCTGCCCAGCCTCTCAGCCTCGTGGCCTACTTGACAGACACCGATGATCTCGTTGTGACCTACACTGTGAAAATGGCCCACAAAAGTTTTTTCTTAAAATTTTGGTATGTAGAGGCAACAGCTACTCTATTAAACTAGTAGCTCTTACTAGTGAGAGGCTGTGTGACGCATCTGACTGGGTGTGAGAGAGGAAGAGCAGAGTCTGGGCCTCACACGTCATGTCTTTCCTAACTCTGGCCTGGGCTAGTTTGTGCCCAAGACCTTGTTTTCAACTCCCTGGTCCTGGAATGAGGCTGATGGCCAGGTCCCCAAATTCATGGAACAAAAAGGGGCCCAGCTGAAAGTTGGCCACCATGGCTGTTCAGATTCCAGCAGCAGGAAGCCAGTCCTGGTAGGGGATGTGCCTCACCTGGCAGCACAGTCTCCAGCTTCCAAAGGGAGCAAGGGATGGCTCCCAGAGCTTTTCCCTCCCCCTCTCTTTAGAGAACACGTTTTCTTGTGCTCTACCCTCCTCCCAAGCTCAGCTGTATTTCTTTGACTAAATTCGATCTTCTTACTGGTGAAAAGCAAAACTCCTTTTACTTTAAGGGTCAATATTCCTGAAACATCCTCTGGGTCAGTCCATATTTTTCCTTTCTGCATCAGAAGTTCTTTGTAGAACTAGAATGATATAGCTCATTGTTTAACTCTTTGGGATCAAAACTCAAACTTTCTCCTTGTATTCATTCTTGTTTTTCCCCTGCAAAGAAGAGTGCTTTTTTCCCTCCCATTTGTGTGCAGAGAGGAAGGGAGAGTCAAGGCTGGGGAAGTAGTGTGGAAGATATTTGAATCTATGCTCATTAAAATCAGTTGCATGCAGAAACCCCATGAATCCTGCCATGGATTTTTCCAGGCCAGATTCATGAGTTTACTGAGAGTTAAACTGAAGCAGTGCACGCATAATCAGGTTTCTTGATGCAGGAAACTTGGCAATAGCTGGAAAATGCTCACCTACCTGTCCACGGTCGGTGGGCCTGTCCCCCATGTGCCCTGACCCTGTGGGTGCTGCATGCCATCCAGAGGAGAGGGGATAAGGGCTGCTGCTCAGGGAGGCCGGTGCCCTGAGGGAGCTGCCCCAGCCCACATGCCCCTTGGGTGACAGATGTTTACGCTTCACCTGGGCATGTGCTGAGAAGAGAGCTCAGGGCACGGCGGCTGCCTTGCTGACATCCCAGAGGTAGGCAGGAAAATTTTTAGCTACAAATATTATTTGTAAGATTATCTTGGAAGTCAGAATGATTTTTTTATAATTGTGCCCAGACCACGTGGGAGGTTTCCAATTAAAAAGAGACTTTGCATTTCAGTCTAATGACTGGTTTAACATGTATAATTCCTTGTTGGTACTTCCTTTGCATATTAAAATGACTGTTTTTCAAATCTGTCCTTTAAATACACAATTGGCTACAATGCAGGCTATAAATATCTTTTCTGTGCTGTATTAATTAGAAAGTCGAGCATCTTATACATTTTAATGTACCCTGTCATCCATACTGATTCTAGCATTTTCAAGAGAACATTTCTGTGTTTGCTTTCAGACTTAAGTGGATGGAAATGATCTTTATTAAACACATTGGGGAGAAGGAAAAAAAAGAACAAAGTTATGTATTTGGAAATGTTGACGGTCTGGCTAAAGTAGCTGTTCTGCTGTTGATTGGAATCTTCCCCATGAAGGCAAGCAGGACTGCTTGAAATTAAGACCCATGGAGCGTCAGTTCTCCAAACTGAGATTCCAGGGTGTGTGCAGGGATGAAGAGGAGAAAAAGTGTGGGTGGGGAGGGAGGTTGGGTAGGAGAATAAATAGGAGAGGGGGAGGGGAGGCTCTTGGTAATCCCACTCCATGGCATGGTTTGGAGAACCATCAGCTTTCCCTGTGCCTAGGCTTGGGGCACCAGCTGAGAGCCTGTGGTGTCCTCCCCCAAATTCCTCCCTGCCCTGCCTGGGGAGACTTGCTCTGAGAAAGCGCTCCGGGCATCTCACCGGTCATAGTCCATGACTGCTATGGACAGATGGATTTGGTCAATATTCTCGGGAGGGACATCAAAGACTATGGCTTCATTGTAAACAGGATTCAGAGTGTTCCTCTTGGTGGACGTTTTCCTCTTCTTCAGTCGCCTGCCATCACACATCAGTGAGACTTTCACATAGGGATCTGCAGACACGAGAAGCAGGGGAAGTGTGAGGTAATGCCGATTTAGGCCAGCAGTTTGTCACTGCGGAGTTTCAGGGACGATGACATGCAAAACTCCTCTACCTGCCTGTGGACTGGAGTTTTAGAATTTTAATAAATATGATGCTTGGACAGTGATTAGAGTTAGGATAGTTAAGTCATTCATTCAAGAAAGAGCACAGGACATTGTCTCCTCAAAAATGTGGAATTTAAAAATAGTGTTACTGAATCACAAAATGTTCCAGAATTCAAGACTTGCTGAGCTGCAACAGAGACAAGTGCAAAGGCATTTTGAAGGCATATGGGAATTGGATGTGGGCCCCGACTGAGCCACCCCAGGATCTTTTCCTAAAGATCAGGGCTTTAGGAAAGGGAGAAGCTGAATTCCTAGAGGACAGCAGAGGCTTCCGGGTGGGCTTCTTTAAGTTCCAGGGCTTTGAGCCTCCACAGCTGCTTATTGGGAGGTAGAGGGGGAAGTTGTCTGGCTCCTTAAGGAGCAAGGGCACAGATGGTCCTTTGTCAAGACAAGGGCTGGTCAGTGGCACACTGAGTGTCCCTCTGGGATGCAGTGACAAGGCTGAACTCTGCCTCGGAGGGGACCTTCCTCACTTGTGCTCAGTGGGGATTCTCCTTCTTTCTGAGCATGGGCTGTCATAACCCCACACTGTCCAAAAGGGTTTAGAGACCAGAAGGGAGTCACATCTTTTCCTGCTTAGGAAGACCGTAGAATCCAGGAAGGAGAATTCATTGCATCTGATATCCTTTGAGCCCAGTGACCAAGAGGCAGTGATTTGGGTGTTTTCTGACCACATCTGGAGAGCACCTGCAGAGGCCATTTATACAGTAGTAACTGCCTGTCAGGCATCTTTTGTTATGTTTCAGAATTTCAGAGTACATACTTGAAACAATGCAGATCTCTGACTGTATTTTATGTCAGAATCCTATATCTATAAGAATATAGTTTTGTCTTCAACCTTCAGTAAGCCCGGGATTGCTTCTATCTGGGGAAGACCCAATTAGATAAACTATAAGTACATGCAACCTGTAGTCCAGTTCCCAACTATGGTGAAGAAGAAGACCTAAGAATTATGAAGATGATAGTTAACATGACATGTAGCATTTGGTATGTGCCAGTAACTGTTTTTATGGTTTTGTGTGTATTGAATCATTTCATTTTACAATGATTTAATAAATCAGATACTATAATTAGCCGAATTTTTAGATATGGAATGTGACACCCAGAGAGGTTATGTGACTTGCCCAAAGTCACACAACTACTAGGCTGAAGATTGGGATTAAACCTAGAGAGAATTTGGTCCCAGAGTCAATGCGCTTTACTACTTTACTAAAAACTTCACAAAGTATTGCAGTATCAATAGAACCATATGAAGAAGTCTGATTTGGATAACTTCTCACCTGATGCTCCTGTTATATCCATTGCTTTTAAGTTCCTTGCTTTTATAATGGTAATGGTCAGCCTGCCAGCCGTTGGAAGATAGCAGAGGGAAAACATCAACTCTCCAAGGTCCACATTGTCCTGTTGAGGAAGCATAAACGAAGCTTTCATTCATCATCAGCACGAAGATTTCATCATCAGCTGTTGTGCCTGAGGGTAGGCTGCAGGCAGCGTAGGCAGGGAGGATGCTGCTCCTTCTACACATTTCTGAGGCCCTGGTATCTCCCCTCTTCACCAGTAACATGAAGGGAATAAATCCTTGCATTTTGAGAGCTTCTGTGTCCTACAGAGACAAAGCCACTCTTTAGATGGCAAGGCTGTCGCGGTCATCCAGGGTCCCTCAATCCAGCCTCTTGTTGGCCTGAGCTGCTTTATACAAGTCCCCAGAACTCAGAATTTAGTCCCATAACTAACCCCCGTGGAGTCCCCCATGCGGTTCCACTCACATCCTATCACAGCCCACACACAGTAACCAGGACAAAGTGAGGCTAAGAGGTGCCTGCAGTCTTACTTAGCCTTACTGACAGGCCACAGAGCCTTGGGGGCCTCCCAAGCAGGTCTCCAGACAGCCCCTGTGAGACTTTCCCAGGGGTCTGCACACAAGCCCACGCTGGTACAGAAAGTCCTCCAAATGGTCAGCGTCCACAAGCACCTTGCCCCCACTGCTCCCATGCTTGCCTATGTAGCCCTCCAGGTTTACCACAATCCCTCTGTGTGCCTCTGTGCACAGCCCCTGTGCTCACACCTCTCCACCCACCAGAGCGCTGCACGCACCCTGTCACAGACAACACATGAAGACCTGCAAGTGGGTCTCAGGGTCCCAGAAACACAACATGTCTCGAACAAGGACCCTGTGCGAGCCTGAGGAGTACCCACATCACACACACATCCACAGACCTGGGCACACCAGGCTGGCCCCACCCAGCCTCGGAGAGAGCCCAGCACGGATTCCTGCAGGGGAGAGCGCTGGGGATCCAGCGTCACCAGCCTCCAGGGTCCCACCGGTCTCAGTGGCTCTTGCTTTCTCTCAGTGTATCTCTAAGGAGACCTCTTCTCTCTCTGCCAGGAAGCCATGTCAGCAGTGTGCAGGCACTCAAATAGGTCAGAAGACATGATACTCTTTCTCCTTTTTAGCCCAAAGAGTGTGTAACCAAAGGGGGAAATGAAATAGTCAATTTAGTTTTAATTTCTGAAATACCTGAGGTCATGGAGCTGGGTGCCTGTGTCTAATTAATACAGTTTCATACAGACAATACTCTGGGGAGTCCAGTTCTGCCCTCAACAGCCACAGCCTCCCCTGCTTTCTTGATTCTCCAAGGATGCTTCTATTTTTAGAAGCACAGATTCAGCTGCAGAAGGTCACCTCACACAACCTCCCTGCCGTGACCGCTTCGCAGGAGGATGAAGCGAAGGGAATCAGTTTGGTCACCGAGGCAGATGGATTGCTCTGTGTCTTTGCGCATGCCTTACCTCATGTAAATAAATCACCTCACCTAGCCCAGATGCTCCTGGTTCCCAGAGCCCTGACCTCAAGAGACCTGGGTGACTGGCCTTTCCCTCAGTGGAGGAGGTGAGGAGAGAGGAGAGAATTGTGCAGGAGTGTGGTGGCTGCATAGGGAAGGTGCTGAATTGCTTTGTGCTGCTGCGCTCCCTCTCACAAGAGGAGTGTCTGTACCCTCTGAAGATAGAGGACCTGACCCAGGTCCTGTTGGCAGTAGAAGAGAAGGAGGAGTAACAGCTGTTCCCAGTTGACCCTTTCCTTCCATACTCCTTTGCCCTTTGACGGCTCTTGTGTGCCTTAAACAGAAAAGCCCTGAATCTCACAGAGTGCTTTGCATACACTATACCTAGCTCCTGCCCCTCATCCTGCCCAGAAAAGTAGAACAGAAGGAAGCAAAGTCAGGCCTGTGAAGACTCATCATCATGAATTCTACCAGCATACACGTCCTGAGGGCCCACACTGCTCAAGCTGTGAAGAATTCAGGACGTGAAGGTGCAGACTGTCTGTTCCCTGTCCTCAAGGTCAAGGTGTGTAATGGAACGCATGTGTCAGAGTGCTTTTGTACTAAGTGCATTTTTTTCAACATAAACTCCATTCACAAATGTTTTATCTTCCATGGCTGTTTGCTCAAGAATCAAAAGAAACAAAATCAAACCTAAGATTTGGTGATAGAGACAGAATTGAATTAGGGCTCATTTGAACTAGGTATGCTGTACTTAAAGAAAAAAGTGGACAAATTAAAGAAATAGTTATAAAAATGAAAATTGTAGGTGTGATTTTCAGATGCTTTAATTTATAAACATATCATTTTAGATTTTCCAAATGATGAAAGTAAAAATGTTGAAACAATTCAAGTGACAAAATTTTAGTAAAACAGTCAAATATCCTTTTCTGATGTATATACCACCTACCACTCCCTTTTCCAGGGCAATACTGTTACTGATCATGCATGGTTTTCTCCTCATCCATCCATGTCTCCACTATCCATCTGCCCCTCTCACCCATCCATACATTCACCCACCCACCCATCTATCCATCCCCCCCAGCCATCCATCCATCCACCACCCACTCATTCATTTAATATTTGTTACACTTGTTAGCACTGCTCTTTCTACACCCCTGCAGTGATAAACAGGAACAGATGCAGTCCCTTCAGGAGAGATGACATTGGTGGGATACAGAATAGGAGTTTACTAAATGTTGACTCTGCTTTCTCCCGTTCAGCTGCTGCAGGTCAACAACCTGTATATCCCGGTGCTTGCAAACATTCCCATAAGCTAGAGACTCTCATTCCTCAAGGGAAAATTGGCACAAACTGGAGAAATTTTCGATTTTCACAACTAGAGTGGATACTGATATTCACAATTAGCGCTGAGTTACTGACATCTAATGAGTAGAAGCCAGATTACTGCTAACCATTCTAAAATGCACAGGATAGAGCTTCACTACAAAAAGTTATCTGGTTCAACATGTCATAGTGTCAAGGTTGAGAAATTTTGCCTTACACAGAAGTGTTTACATTGCTAGTAAAACATGTTTCCAAAATGTTGAAGAAAGTTAACTATAAAAGGAGGTGGTGTCCTGGTGTGATTCTGTCCTCAGAATGTTCTCTAGAACAAGTCTCCCTTCTTGCCCACCTAAGTGTGTGCCACCACCCCATGGAAGATTTGATCGGGATTGATAGGAGCCCTTAGAAATATCTTCTCACTTGTGACCAAATGGTGATCACTTTAAGGCACATAATGATGAGAATGAGCACCAATTTTCTTTAAAATTTTCTTTTAAAAATAATCAGTTTAGAGTCTGGTGCAAAGAATGGACTGTATGGAGTTGAAGTCAAAGCAATGAATTATGAAGGAGGTCCAATTACACTTTGAAAACAGACAGCCAACATTTTCCCTGAAATAGCACCACCTGTGGACTTCTGGATAAAGTGTGGCTTGGGGCCTGTTGCTATCAGTGAGCATCAGAGATGCAGTCAGAGATGGAGAAGAAGTGAGACTCTCAGGCATATCTGGGCAGTGTTCTGCTCTTAGTAGTGGTAGCAAGTTTCCAAAGGAAAAAAGTCAAACTCGCTGCTGCCAAAGACAATGATGAGGACAATGAGGTGATGACAATGGTGGTGATGACAATGGTAGAGATCACGAACATGAGTCTGATGAGGAGGAAACTGAAGAGGCACTAGTGAAGAAAGCTGTGAGAGGTGCTCCACTCAAAGATGACAAAAACCAAAGCACAGCGGGAAGGACTCACCATCAACACCAAGATCAAAGGGTATTCGTATTTCTTTCAAAATACAGGAAAAAAAAAAACCTTCCTGAAACATGGAAAGGACCCAATTTTGTAGAAGATATTAAAACAAAAATGCAAGCAAGAAGACACAACAAACAACCTGGGCCCTACTGGCAAATTAATTCCAGAGACAGGGAAAGAAGGAAAGATGAAACAAAGGAAAACAATTAATAGCTATCTTCAATTATTCAGTCTTCTATTGTTTTTTTAAATTTTCTTACATTGTTCATTTTTGTACAATATTTGATTTCTACTTCCAGGTGTAGTCCCCTTCACTTCCCACCACATTGTAAACCTGCACCACAGACCTCTGCTCTTCCCTCCCCTTCTATTTTCATCTTAGTCCCCTCTCCTGACTTGCCAACACCCACCCACACTCCCTTTCAGACAAAAAGCAATCTCACCCTTGATGTCCTAAAGCATTTTCTCTAGATTGCTGTGATTCAGTGAATCCTAAGCTTTGCTTTCTATTTCTTGTGCATTTGCTCACCATATTTAATCACCTTTATATCTCCCCAGCTGCCCTATAAATATTTGGATGAATCAAAAATAAGTAAAATGGTGATGGATTATGTGACGGGAAGAAATGGATATACAGACGTGTCACTGGGGGCTGACTGCCAAACAAAGACATGTTTCATCTGCTCATGTGTTGTGTAGCCAGGTTCAGTATTGTTAGTAAGACAGACTGTGAGTCTGCAGCAGACATGTGTGAATTCTCTTCCTGCAAACCTGTAAACTCTTTCTGTGATCGTTGCCTGTAGTGTGTGATAGCTGTATTTTTTTGATCTAACTGGTATATTTTTGTGTTCCTCTTCTTGGGTTCTTTTGGTGAACTCCCTCCCAATTCCATGAAATTCTAGAAAGGTTGCTGTGAATATTCAGGCAGATCAAGCTATTCAAGCCTTTGTCCACTGTTGACTTTCAGGGGTGAGAATGTAGCCTAAATAGTGTAAGTTAAAGACCTTCCTGTGGTTGAAAAATTGATATTGAGACAAATAAATTATGATTGTATTTGAGTTATTCAGTGAAAAGACATTGTTAAGTTCTTATTTTATGTACAGTACAGTACAAGTGGTAAAATAATACTTGAAGTTAGACAGATAAAGATGTATTCTATAACAAATGACTGTAACAGGACCCTCTCTTGTGGTGCAACGGGTTAAAGTACAGAACTATGAAATTATCCAAAGCCACTGTGGCACAAGCCAGAGAGCTGACCCACATGGCGCAGCAGACCTCACCTGTCTTTCCCACTGCTCCCCTCTGCAGTGTATTTTAGTCAATC